GCATACTCAGCGCAGGAGTCAGCTTAGGGGATGCATATGCAGATCTTTGGTCTCTTCTCTGCTGTTCTCCCTTCTCCAGACCTTGGCTACCTAAGTAGCAAACTCCAAACGGCTCCACACTCTGACCTCTGCCCCTTCAGCCCGGTGAGGCTGCCATTTTGCAAATCCGCATCCTGCCGTGAACGGCTTCAGAAAAATATCCAGGGTGCACGTGGAACGCATGCTGTGGGCTCTCCTTCCAGTCCTGCCTGTGTTTGTTGTCTCCAATGCCTGCAGACAATTGCTTTGTGTATCTTGTCCAATATTTACAGTTGTTTTTGAAGTCAGGGTTACTATAATCTGACCTATTCTATCATGGCTGCATAGTGCAGAAATGTTTTTGTGGGAAAATAAAACAAAACTTGCCCTAAATCCCTTCTCAGGTGGCACCAGCTCATCCAAGCTCTGAGGTGGGTGTGGGGCGGAGGGGATTAAGGGGGGATCCGTGATTATTCGCTCCGCAGGAACCGTGTGGGCAGATGGAGTGGAGGCGATGTGTAACATTTCAAAATATTATGAAAATTATACTTAAGGAATTACCTCTGATAATTTAATGAATTAAACTCATACTGTTTCATATTCATTTCAAAGGAAAAAAAAGACGAAACCACACGTGGCTCCAGGACTTTCTGGGGCGTCATGATGTTCATGGGACAGATCCATAGTGGTCAACACTGGCCGGAAGGAAAAGCGTATGTAACCCTAACTGTCCTAGAACTTGGAGATCAAAGTACTTTAAAACAATTCTTAAGAATTCAGAGGCAAGGCAGGCGAGTTTGTGTAAGAATGTGGGGGATGAGACAGAGAAGGAAAACGAAGGAACGTCGAGGCGGGGCCCTCGGGCCCGGGGAGCACCGCTCCGGGGAGCAGCAGTGGCCGCAGGGGCCCCCCCGGGTCAGCCCGCCGTCTCCGTGTCCCCTCGCCTTCTATTCGGTGGCCCGCAGAGGCTCCCAGGGTCCCGGTGGCGCTCAGGGTCCTCACTGCTGTGCGCCTGTCCTTGGCCAGGGACCTGGCCTGGGCGAGAGGCTTGGGGGAGCTGCAGCGCCGCGGCCGGACGGTGACCCGCCCCGGGTTACCAGGTGGAGCCGCTAAGAAGGCTTCGACTGTAACAGGAGATCAAGCGCTAAGGGCTCGAGCAAGAAGAAGACTCACTGGCTTGTGTGTCAGGGAGCCTAAGGCACAGCCTCTTCAGGGCTGGGTTCGTCCCTGGCTTGATGACGTCATGAAGCACCAGGTTCTGTTTCCATCTCTCTGCCGCCTTCGACACAGTACTGTTGTCTTTAGCTGCTTTTCTTGGTTCCCTGAGTCACACCTGGACACAACATCTGATGGAAGCAAAGGAAATTTCTCTTCCCATGTGTATCTTTTTATTAGCGGCTAACCCTTCCCCAGCAGCCCCCCAGCAGACCTTGCCTTGAGAATTATTGAACACGGCTTGGTCACCTGGTCCTGCCCCGCCAGCCCCCAGCAAGCAGGGCGTGGCCCTGGGCTCGGCCTCTCAGGCTGGAACACCAGTCGGAGCCCCCGGCAGGGTCAGACATCTGGACAAAAGGGACCTCTGCCCATGGAGGCGGGGCGGGTACGGGGGAGGGGGGGTACAACCGCCGGCGTCGGCTGCACTTAAACTCGCTAGGCCTCCTTTGCTTTCCCTGCAAAGTGGGGGAGTCGTTGCATCTGGTTTATGGGGTTTCTGTAAGGATTAAATGCAGTAATTCACGGATTATTCCTCCAAAATTCCTCCAAGAAATGTTTTAAAATCTCTGTGCCTCTCCTGAGCGCACTGATGGACAGCGCGTCCCACAACCAAACGCGCAGAGCGGCCTCCCTCCGCCAGCGACTCCGCCGCCTGTGGTTTGCCTCAGCGCCCTGGCGGCAGTCGGTGTTTTACACGCGTGTCCTCCAACCCGGACAACAAAAGCGCACTCACGCGCGGTCCTCGTCCGTCCCTCATTCATCCACCCAGCAGTCAACACACATTTTGTTTCTGGGATCTCATTTTATAGACAATAAAACAGGTTTGGAGAATAAGACGTTTGAAGTGACCCAGCTGGTAAGCGGCCCCGTGGGACGTGGGCTGGGTCCGTCCGCCGGCACGGGCTGCGACCCTCTGTGACCTGCTGTCCTGACAGCTTGCTTAGTGTGCGGTGCCCCAGGCTCAGCCTAGTGAAAGGGGTGCCGCGAGCCGCTGCAGCAGCGTGTGCACTCGCAGCCCAAGGCCGGGGAGAGAGCGGCCGCCCGCGGCCACCCAGGCCATCACAGCCCGGGGACCGGGGCTGCCCTGTGTGGCGCCAGCAGGTGGCAGGCTGGGATCAGCCAGGCCGGCCGCCTCCAGGGAGCCGTGCTGAGGGCGAGAGCGGCCTTCTGGGCTGAGGGCGGCGGAAGCCAGGCTGGCCCTTCGGGCTTCTGTGCAGGAAGGAGGGAGACGAAACTGCGGGCGGGCCAGCCTGCCCACCGCTGCCAGCGCGCTCGTGCTGTCTGTGCGCATTCGTCCCAAGTCAAGCGCGAAGCTCGGTGCCGTCTCCCGGTGTCGTCCACTCTCCTGGTTCCGTCCCACGCTCGCTGGACCTGCCCGCAGCCCAGGGTGCGTGTTCTCCTCTCTGGGTGTGCGGCGCCCGGCGGGCCTGCTGCGTGGCGGGGGTGCCCGGGGGCCGGCTCGGCACCAGACTCCCTGGGCGGGAGCCCCACCGTGGCCGTCCCTCCCGGGCAGGCTCTCGGTCAGCCGTCTGCTCTCTGAGCCTCAGTGTCCGCCTCAGGAACAGGGTGGGGGTGGCAATCCCACACCGGCATGCCGCGCGGCGAGCACGAGGGCTGTAGGGAAAGGGCTCGCCGCAGTGCGTTCAGAGGCAGCTGTGATTGTTAGGGGTGGAGCTGATGTTGCAAAATGTGTGGGGGAGGACGCTTTGCGGAGAGGATCGGACCACGAGGCGACCGGGGCAGGGCTCCGGCAGACCCCGCAGGGCCACGTCCGCTCTGGTTGGCTCTCGCTGCGCACGGCGTCGCCGCCCCGCACGGGAGTCACGGAGGGTCTGCTGCCTGTCCTGGCCCCGGTCCCACCTTCTGCGGCCCGATTCCGAAGGCCTTCTTCGTCACTGCGCTCCGCCCTGCCTGTCGCCCGGCTGCCGGGCCCGGCCACTGTGCCGGGAAGCAGGAGTGCAGCGGCCGCCGGTCCCCGCTGGAGCCCAGCGTGCCTGGCACACGACCTCCGCGCCGCCTGGGGCTCTCCTGCACCCCCTCCTCCCGGCCCCAACCGCACCTCCTCCGGGGCCCCCCCCAGACACCTCCTCAGCTTGGCCTCAGGACAGCACCCCAAGTCTCTCTGCCCGGCTCCGCTCGCCCCCGCACGGTGCAGACCCCGGGCTGCGCGCGGCTCCCTCTTCCCTCCCCGCTGCTCCTGCGGCTGCGGCACAGCTTCGGCCCTCGCCTGCTCGCGGGAGGCCCGGCCCGTCTCTTCCGCGCCGGCGTGGGCCCCTGGCTCTAGTCTAAGCGTCCACGTGCCTCTTGGGCACCTCGGCCACACATCAAATGCGCTGTGGGCAGGCCCAATGCCAGCACCTTCCTTTTTCTCCCCCTGCGCCCCACCGTCTGCCCGCCGGGCTGCCACGGCGCGTCGCTCACGGTGTGCTCTCTCCTTGGCAGTGGCAGCCACTGTAACAGAGTCACAGAGCCCTGGGGTGTTCGAGTGCGATGGGGCTGGAGTCGATCTGTATTTGCATGTTGGCTTAGCCCCTCGAGTGGCCTCTGGGAAGTTACTTAACGTCTCTGTGCCTCAGTTCCACATCCAACAGACAGAAGAGTGCCCTGCAAGAGTGCCATCCGCGTCACCGAGAGGCTGTGTGTAGCTGTATTACAGAGAGCTAGCACTTGTGAAAGGCTCAGCGGGTGCTATTTACCTCCAAGGGCTCCACCCCCGGATTTGCCAGACGGTGACACCGAGGACAGGAGAGACGACTGGATTAAGCGCTAGTGAGAGAACTGGGACTGGAACCGGCCTGATGACTTCAAGGCCCGTGGGCCTCAAGGGAGTCGTGATTGAAAACAGCCAGGAAGCTGTCTTGGGAGAAGCTTATTTTTAGATCATTACTTGGGGAAGGGACCATGTTTCTTGAGCTTGCTGTCAAGCCCTTATTATTTATGCCAAGTGGGACTAAGAAAAGCTGGTTAAATGGAAGGCTTTTAAATAGCCCAAATGCCATTAAGCCTCAGCTCACCCTGCCCCACAGCGACTGTTCTCAGCGTGCGAGAGGCCCTGCGTTCACCGTGGAAACAGAGCACGCGACGCAGCAGAGTCCTGCTTGGCCTCGACCCGGCAAAATGGCATAAATAACGGCGTCGCAAAAGAAACCTTGAAGGGAATTTTGAAAGACAGAGATGGGACGAGGGCGTGGCAGTGGCTAAAGTGAGGCAAGTGGAGCCCTGTGTCTCCTGCTGTCGATGTCTGAAGGTGGCCCTGTGCTGGGGGAAGTCACTCCCCGCTCCCCGAGGCCGCTCTGCACAGTTACGGATCTTGTTAACAGGAAATAACTTCAGCATTGCCGTTAATTTGTTTTGACGTGTCTCAAGAAAGCCCCTTTTCCCTTTTGAACAGCGCCTGCTGCCTTCTGTCAGGCCGAGCCCCCGCGGAGGGGCATGGGCCGTCGGCGAGCCTTCTCAGGAGCAAGGGGAGCCCGCGCGTCTGCAGAGGCCGCAGCGAAGGCTTCTGTTTGAAGCCCGCACTTGCAGTGAACGCCTGGGTGTATTTGCATTTATTTTTTAAGTCTTTCCAGGCATTTGAGAAAGTTGCCATGGGTGACAGCTTCTTTGAGCTCCACGCTGTCACCCAGACCCGACCCGCAGAGGGCAGCACCCGGGCTGTTCCCCCGGGAGGTGCGACGCAGGCAGGCAGCGCTGGAGGCTTCTACAGCCCGCAGGGCGGGGCTGCAATGCGAGCTGCATGTTTTTGCAGGGTAACTCCTCACTCCTACCTGAAGTCGACGTCCCTGCCAGTGTGGCCGTCCAACGAAGACCTGCTGCTCCGCGACGCGGGCTCAGACGACGCCAGCTCCCGGGGCCGAGGCGGGCGACGCGACTCCCGCTCGCCCCCCACTGCCAGAGCGCGTCGTTTGTTGAAGTGCGAGCGAGTCCTGGGGTACATTTTGGCATAGGTATTAGTATTTATCTATACACGTGGGAAACAAATGCAAAGCTATTTCAAAGGCAGGATGGGCCAGCCTTGTAAGTAGGTCAAGTTCATCATGAGTTCAAAGGTGCAGGGTCAGGGTTCTCGAGAACTGAACCTGGGGCTGCCAGAGTCTTACGCCAAACTCAGCACCACTGAGATGTATTGACTGATTCCTGACTGGGAGTCCCAGCATCTAAGTACCACCCCCTGAAGAGCAGACCCCTAATCAGGACACTTTGGACGGTAGCTCGCTGCTGCTCAGTTGCTGGACGGGCATTGGCTTGACGCGTCCGCGCCGCCGCGCACGGCCGTGCACAGGACCGTGAGTCCCCGCGCTCCCGGCCGGACGCGCGGCCCGCCGGCGTGGGCCCGCTGCCCTGCTCAGGGATGGGCTTGTGCGGGATCAGCGGGCGCACCTGGCTCCCCCGCATCTCCAGAGCCATGGGCTTCAGACGGTCCTTGTCAAACACTCGCTCACAGGGTCACAGCCTCCTGACGGCCGGTCCCAACCTTCCCCTCTCCCTGTCACTCCTTCTCTGCGCCCGAGTCCTCGCCCTAAAACCAGGTCTGACCCGCTCACTCTCCACACACACCCCGCGAGGGCCCCGCCTCCTCGCTGACCGCGCGGCCCCAGCATGTGCCCATCAACGGCGGCCGTTGTGTTGTGGACGGCAGGATGGTCGGATACAATACGGGGCGTCCAGTTGCATTTGCGTTTTGGATAAATAACGAGCGATGTCTGTTACCCGTGTGCCCCATTCAGTGTGTGGAACGCACACTGGTTCTCAGTTGTTTGTCTGAATTTCAAAGGTAACTGAGCGTCCTGGTTTCTGTTTTCTAATTCTGCCATTCCCCTGTTCACGCGTCTGTCCCTCAGCCGCCAGGGAGCTCCTCGCCGGCACCTGCGTCCCGGTGAGCGGCCAGGCTCCAGGCCCAGCCGCAAGCTCTCCCTGGAAACATGATGCTTGAACGGATGCAGAAGGGAAAGCAAGTGATCAAAAGAGGAATGACAGTCACTGCTTGTCTCTGTCCGCTCAAGAGAACTAAGCCCTCTGGGCGACCGCCGGCACAGGTGGCAGCGCTCCCTGCCCAGCAGCATCCTGGAAGCAGATTTTCATCCAGCGCGAGGGAGGACAAAACAGAGGCAGAGCATACGAGCACCTGCCGGTGTCGTGTGTAACGTAGAAACAGCAGCGACAATGGAATAATGTCACTTGCTGTGGACCCCAGGAACACATGCTAGGGACGTCCCCGGTGAAGCCTCACAGGTCCTTGCAGGCGGGCGCTCACTGCCAGGGCAGGACTGTGTTGCTCCTCAGCTCTGTGCCACGGCATCTCTGGTCCCACCCACGAGTTCGCTTCCCTTCCAGAGACCCCCGGGGCGGGGGAGCGGCTCCGGAGAGGGCCGCTGAGAGCCCTGCCTTGTAATGGAAAATGAGGCCCAGGGTTGCCAGGCCTCCGTGAGGGTTTGGACTCAGGCTCCCTCCTCCTCCGGGGAGGTCTCCTTTCCGGTAAGGGGGTCTCAGACCTTGGTCTCAGTCCTGTGGCCTGAGTGCGTTTTAAGAGCTTCCGGCTCCAGGGCACAGAGAGGTGCTGAAGGAGGAGGGGGCACGAGCCTGCAGGATGGGCTTCCATGTGGGAGGCACCAGGCGGCCCTGCCCCTCCTGCCCCCGAGCCCGCGTGGCAGGCACGGGAAAGGCCAGCCGCTTGGGCGATGGCCCTTGAGTCGGCAGTATCGGGAAACGAACGGACCCGCCTGGCTCGAAATGCTTTGTTCCTCCTGAAATTCCTAGTTCAGGCAGATTGGTTGCTATGGAGACCCGAGCTTCCTTCACCCTGGATGGTCAAGAGGGGACATGCTGACAAATGGCGGGAGAGGGCCTGGGGTCCGAGCTCCTAGTCTCTGCTTGACCACGCCTTCCTGCGAGCCCGCCCGTGGCCCGCGCCTGCCCACACAGCCCTGCCCCAGCGAGGCAGGCCGGAGACGCACCTCGCTCGGGCTCGCGGGCATGTGGCGGGCAAGGCGTCCTCCGCTCTCCTTTCTGCCGAAGAGGCGGAGCGAGTCCACCGCCTGACCTGATGACTCTGTGGGAACACGCTCCCGGGAGCCGCACCCAGGAGCAGGGCGGCCTCGCTCTGCCTAAGCACTTGCTGCGTCTCAGAGACGGGGCCGGGCGGCCAGCCCAGGCAGACGCAGGTAAACTCAGGAGGGCCGAGGGCACCAGCAGGAGCCCCGCGACTTCCCCTCCAGGCTGAGCCCGGAGTTAAAAGGATAAGGTTTATTTCCCAAGCCTGTGTTTCTCCTGGCGTAGTCCCAGCCTCAGGGATCCGGATGCGGAATTGCTGGAGGCAGCTGACGAGCAATGTAATCAGCGGAGGCGAAAACAAATCAGTCCACAAAGACACTCCCTGCACCAGGATTCTGTCGTCACCTCAGCCGGGTGCCCAACAAGATGCACAGCGCGAACGAGGAAAGCGCTCTACATCCGCAGCGAGCGGGGAGCGGCGGGAGGAGGTTACTAGGCAGCTGCCTGCAGCCAGCACAATGCCGGACACGCTCACGTGGCCCCGGGGGAGTTTTTGGTTCTGTTGAAGTCCTGTGCCCCTCGGTGTCCCTGCCATCGCTCTGAGAGGAAAGCAGTGGCAGTCGCTGGCGGGACAGAGGCGGGGGTGAGCTGGGAGAAGCAGGATATACCCAGAGTGAGAGCCCTGGGTTCGGCCACACGTGGGCCTGAAGTGCAGCTGCCCCCGGGAACGGAGCTGTGGGGTCTGTCCGTGGGCCTGAGGGCCGTTCGGAAAGAGGGCGTGTGCAAGACGTCGCCAGCAAAGCAGGGCCTGGAGCAGGTGTAAAGCCCACTCTGGCACGGCCCTTGTCTGCGCACGCACGCTTTGGTGGGAGGCTCAGAGCGCTGGAACCAGGAGGCCACGGAAACCCTCGCTTTCTGACGGCAACCTCAGTGGCTGGGCCAAGCTTCTTGGCCTGCCTGGGTGCTGGCCATAGAGCTAAGGTGGAAGGTAGTCCTCACCTCGTAGGGCTGTTTTGAGGTTAGAGTGGGTGAGGCTTTCATCAGAAGCATTGCTTTATTCCAAGAACTGGACGCAATTACTCCCCATCATTCCTTTGGGATCAGTCAGCAACTGCTGACCACGCACCCACTGTACACCCTGACCCTCCCACAGCCTCCCTGGGCTCAGGGAGGTGTCGGATCGGTGTCCCTGCCCTCAAGGGAAGGCGCCAGGGGCCGAGGGTGGGGGTGGCAGCCGCCCCTGGCTCCGGGGGCTCGGGCGGGACGACCGCGGAGAGCCTGCCGCCTCCCCGGCGGGCACGCGCCGAACCCCCATCGCCCCGGCAGGCGCTGCTTCCCGGCTGCTAAGCACCACCACCCCGCGCTCGCGCCCCGACTCTGTCTCAGGTGGGCCTGCCTCGGCGGGAGGACGGCAGCCCCTCCCCGAAGCTCAGGAGAGGGAGCCGCAGTGGCTGTGAGCCCAGGGGCGTGGCTGAGGGGAGGCCAGCCACCGTCCTGAAATCCAACACAAGGAGTCTGCCTGAAGCTCCTGCTAGGAACTTCACTTTCCTCGTAAAAGCACGGGTGTGGTTCGCGAAGCTCCTGCCTTGTCCTCCCATCTTCAAAGTGGAAGTGAGGCCTGAAGCTCCAGGAGCTGCTTTGGAGCCGTGAGGCAGCAAGCATGAGGGTAAAAAGCCAATAACCAGAAGAGGAGAACCTGGGGTGCAGAGAACAGCCGGAGCCTGGATTCCTGGCTATGCCGCAGAGCCCCAGCTACTGAACTCCTTACTAGGGGAGACGCGTGTGTGTCTTCATTGCTTAGCTCACTCTGCAGTGGGTCTACGTTATCTGCAGCTGAGCACATTCCTCTCTGCTGTTCCCTCCCTTTGAACAGCGCCCCTTTCTGAAGCGCTGTGCATACTGCAACCTGCCTCCCAGCCCGGCTGCCACCCTCGCCTCCAGCCCGGGGGCCCCTGTGGAGGCGAGCCTGGGGACCTCGGCGTGAGCCGGACCGAAGGTCTGACTCCCTCCAAGAGTATCACATTTTAACAAAGGATTCCTGTGACCAGAAAAACTTCCTAGGGACAAAGACATGCAATCATGACGGTGGATTGGAAGGTCGGGGAATCGATACGCTGCAGACGACCGGAAGCCTGAACTCCTGGCCCTTGAAGCATGAGAGTGGCCGCCTGGTCCCCCTGCGTGCGCCCCTCAGAGCTGGCTGCGCAGCGTGCGGTCCCCCCGCCATGCCGGCATGCCAGGGGGACCACCGCAAAGGCGGGCCTCGGGCCCCGCCCGGACCTGCTGGATCAGAACCCAGGCCGCCGCTGAGGTTGCCAAGCGACTTGTACGCGTGTCTGTTTCCCAAGCGCTGCCCCGGGAACACAATTTCCAGGCTAGAAAAAAGTCTGGTCTCCTGGTACCAGGGGCGCAGGGGGCGAGGCACATGCCGCCGTAGGGAAAACTCCCCACCACCTCTATCTGGTTGTAGGGGTTCTGCTGGAATAGCTTGGTGGGATAGAGAAACAGTTCTTTCAGGATCATTGGAAGGTGGAGACGAGAACCATCAACAACTCAACGCCTTTCAAGATTATATCTTATTTCTAAAAGAGACATAAGTTATGCAGGAAATGAGAGACAGAGATGGGAGGGTGGCGTGGTCTCGAAAGGGCCCCCTGGAACTGACGCGTCACGTTGCAGGCCCTCCATGAAGCCGCCTGATGTGTGCCCCCCCGACCCCGGGGGATTCAGAGCCTCGCTATCGGCGGTGCCTGCTTACCAGGCCAACAAAAGAGCTGGACTCAAGGGTGCCAAAAAAGTGATGCCCATGGACGAACAGCCACCGAACGGTCAGGGTAGCCCGCATGGCCTGGTCCAGAGAATTTCCTCCCCGTAAGAAGCTCTGAGGAAGCCCGAGCCATAACCAGAAGTTATCTTGCTGACCCACAAGGAGGCGCCCCATCTCCG